GCGTTGTTCGCGATGCGAGTAGCAATCCTAGACAAACACATGCTGCCACCCTTTTGACGTCCGATTCGGGGCCCTCGGAGGTGGTGGCGTAGCACGAGGGATGGAAACGCGTCAACGATACATCGTCGCAACGAGACTTATCCGCGAAAACAATAGCACAGGTTATATAACCAATGACGTACGTGCAAAGATTTTATCACGTGGAATCAATTAAGATAATTGTAACCGAACACAGAATCGAATGTAACGTTATTTAATTGCATTATTTAACTATAAAATCAATAATTTTATTATCGATGATGATTAATTCATTGAATAAATGTTGACAAATATTAATTATTTAGTAAAATTGTATTAATATTATATTATAATAACATATGATATAATATATTATAATTATTAAAAAATAAATATTCATTACCGATTATTAAAATATCACGTTTATTTTTGTTTTATTTTAGTATAATAATGTATAGAAGAGTGTTTTACTTGAGGGGAAAAAGAATAAGAGTAAGAATAAGATAGAAAGACAGCTCAATTTATTACGCGCTTTGAGATGATATCCTCTCAAATGCAAAAAACGTAAATCAAAGAGAGAGAGAGAGAGAGAGAGAGAGAGAGAAGAATAATTCTTTATAATCTGTTAATTGTTTAGTGATTTATAAATATAATTTATGTATATACATATATGTATATAAATTGAGGGAATTGGCGGAATAGAAGCACAATTTTACTTGATTTTTCCCTTTAGAGAGATTAGCGCAAATAAACAAGGAATTGATGTTGCTTACATTAGTTAAATATGAACGTGTTTCGATTGTCCTGTGGTGGTGAAAATGATATAATCTAAGGAAAAAGGGCATAAATAATTTAAAATTATTAATAAGATTTTTACCAGAGACTGAACGAAAATGATACGACAATAATGTGTTTTTATTACAACATATTTATGTTAAAATATTTTACGAAAACTCATCAGATGATGATCAAACATTATTTCAATTTATTTTGTACAAGTAAAAGTAAAATGTACTTCATATTTATTTTGTATTTCTGCTAGAAGAATGTGAAAATAAAAAACATTTCTGCAGTTCATAGTCTTTTCTTTCTGTCGATTCTTACAATATTATGATCAATATTCGGAAAAAGGGACTAAGCGCATTTTTTAAATTGCAAATAACTTTTTAAATATTGATCCTAATAGAGAAATATTATAACATATAACTTCTCATTTGTGATATAATAAAAAAGTAATAAGTTATTTTAATTTTAATTTTTATTTTAATATTTTATTAATTTATCGTATATTACCAAGATTGGTAATTAGGCCTTTATTCCACCCATCCCCTCAATTTATTTTAAATAGATACATTTAATTTGATGCATATTTATAATTTTATATGTATATATATATACATATATATGGATTATATATAAACATTCTTACAGTTAATTATATTCATTTTTACTATGATAGAAAGTAAGATATTTTTCTTCCAATTAAAACGTGAATATATAATTTTTAAATTCATATTTCTTTTATTATCTTTATTTGTGCATTTATGTTTTCTTTCGATTCCTTGCTCTTAAAGTTTGATATATCCAGCTATGTCAAATGAAAATTATTAAATGTCAGAAATGTTTAGAGAAAGTAATATACATTTTAATACAAATAATATGAGTGTAGAGAAATATGAGACGATAAAAAAAATTTTCAAAAAGATATAAAAATTTTAACTGTGTGTTTTTATTCTGTATAACTTCTGCGCGTATCTCTCACGGGAATAGACATATCATCCTACTTGGAAACGTTTAATTTTACGAATTACATCGATTTCGAGATATATCGATGTGTGAATAGAACTAAAGAATTCATGACTCATTATTTTATTATATATATTTATACTCTCTTATTGCCACCTTTTTTTAGTCTCAAATCCTGGTTATACTTTGATACTATCGTGAGCACGATTATCCCCCGGCGCGGCGATGATGACGCGCAGTCGTGGCGCGTCATCGAGCAGTGCGCTTGTGCGAGCCAAGGACAGCGGAGGTAGAGAGCGAGGACGTAGACGTGGTCACCATCGAGGGGTAAGGAGAGAGAGAGAGAGAGTGAGAGAGAAAGAGAGGGAGGGGGAAAGAGAGCGAGCGACATCGTCGTCGAAACCGTGGCGGCCGGCGCGGTGCTGTAGGGGTGACGGGGGTTGACGGTGCGGTGAGGAGGTGTCGGAGGGCCGTGAACGCGTCCGCGGGTGTCCGCGGCGTCCGGCGCTCTGTCTCGCAGTCTGATGCCGCCGGTCGTAACGGATTCACGCGTGTACCGTCAATTCGGAGCGTATAGTTCGGAGCGTAGTCCCGACGGCTCTCAGGGGGCGAGAAGAGTTCGCGAGGAGAGAAGAGTCGCGCGATCTGATCAAGGCAGCGTAAATTTGCGAAAGGTCGAACGAATCGAGCGGAACCGCGCAAGCGGAATCGCGATAGCGTGGAACAGCATAGATTCGCTAGGTTCCACGAAAGCGCGACCGAGCCGCGATTTCACGAAGGCGCGACCGAAGTCGCGTGGGGATTAATTCCCACAGGAATTAAGCGGAATTGTACGAAATCGCGGAGGAATTAACGTGTTTGCGCTACTTCGGTGAGTGAGTGACAATTCTCGGAGAAAGCCAACGGAGAGCCTGTAGGAGAGAGTAGGCGATCGTCGTTCGATGCCGCCCTGGCGCCGTGAACTGCGGTGGTGAACCGCAATAGCAAGATCGCGCGAGGATGAGCGATGTCGGTCGATTGTCGCGCATTGAATGGGCAGGTAAGGAGGATTACTCCGGGAAGCACCACACCTCGTGGTGACACTGCGACAGGGCAATTACGGTCGCCGGTGACCAACCACCTCCGGTCTCTGCTCCGATCTTCGTCACGTAATGGCGTTGATTGGGGATCGATTGCATGTGTTGAGGTGTCTGCAGCTTGATGCCTGCCCCCCGTTTACGCTTGTCGAGGAGAGGGTGCAGGTTCTGAGTCTTTCGACGTGGACTGCTGCTGTCCAGGCCGGTAGCGGATCGATTTTTGCGAGGGGTGAGGAGCAAGGGGGTGAGGAGCCGAGCGAGCGAGAAGCGAGCGGAAACGGGGGCAGGGGCGCATCGTGTACGTGGGCATAACGATGTGAATGTGTGTATGGCTCAGTGTGTATGTGTGTATATATATATATATATAAAGTATATTTATGTTGTATGTGGGTGTGTGAGTTTGGGGGTGACTTCGAGAACGGGTCGAGCATTGAGAACGGTTCGTGAGCAGATCGGAACGAGTTAAAAAAGATCTCTCGAGCACCGCTTCGAGATGATCCCGTTTCTGTTCCGGAGTTGGAGACCGGCGACTTCCGATTGTCCAATCT